TTAATTATAGCAATGAACTTTGTTTCTCATTACAACAACGAACTTTTATTACTGAAAACTTATATACATGTTTTAGCAATGAATTGTTTGCTCCTTGTAGCAACGAAATTGATTGCTCATTTTAGCAATGAAACTTGTTTACTCGTTTGAGTAACGAACTTTATCTTCCATGAGAATATGAATGTTGCATCTTATTTGGGCAACATACTTTATCTCTCATGATGACAAAGAACTTTGTTTTTACAAACTTATTTACTCATTTTAAAATATACTTTTATTCTTGGAAACTTTTATCAAAACTTTGATTTCAATTCATGGAACCAATATTATTTTGTTTATCTGTGAGTACTCACCAACTATTTTTATAGTTGACGCTCGTTTTACATGCTTTTTCAGGAATCATCGAGTAAGTGGCACTTAGGGACACTTCACTTTTAGGAGCATTCGCATGTGTTGTATTTCAATTTACATTGTAATTTCTTTTAAAAGTTGTTCAAACCCATTGTAAAATTGTAATGATTTTTAATACTATGGTTGGTGTTGTCTTTCAACTTTTGCTATGAAACCCTTTATACTGCCACGCCTCGTGTTTCCGCTTTAGCGGGGTGTGACAACAAGCCTAGATCTGAAGTAGCAACCTCAGATCTAAGCCTCTAACTCGAAATAGCTCTTAATCATATCAAAAATGCCCCAAATCTCAAATGATAATAGATCTAGATACAAAAGAGCCCAAACAACAGATTAATACCTCAAATATATGCTCCTATTGAAGTAGATCCCGGATCTACACCACTCCTTTGCAGCAAGTCTCTTGATCTTCAAGCCCCTTTTCCAAGATTTTCTCCTCCAAGGCTCTATTCTCTCTATTAATGGAGACTCACTCGAATCTAGGGTTTTCTGGAACTCTCTAGGGGGATAGGAGGCTGGGAGAAAAGGACACAAAGTCCTTTAAATAGGGTGCAACCCTCGGGATTAGGATTTTCTCATTCCAGCACCAACTCGTCGAGTACGTCTTCCGACTCGGCGAGTTGGCCACTTAACCCGCGATCAATCCCGCTCCGACTCGACGAGTAGCATATCTACTCGTCGAGTAGCTTCCTAAATTTACACTTAGCACCCTCCAACTTCTTGCTTCCGAACTTGGGATGTTACACCACCCGTGCAAACGTGTGTGGTTACTCGTGCAACTGACTTCCTGGAGGCATTTTGGTCATTTGACCCATCATTTACCTTGGGGGTTATGTATTGCAGCCCCTAGATTGATTTTTACACCGTTGGAGTAGCTTGGGGTAATTTTGGAGAGCTAGAGCATTCACAATCTCATTCTTCTAGTACTTGCTAATTCATTGATGTTAAAACACTTTTACGATCGCTTTCTTGTTGCGATGAGTGGCTAGTTACTTTATTTTGGTTAATATGAGCTAAAACCTTTGGATATTTGTGAGTTTTGAAGGATTCATATTTTGTTTTCATTTATTTCGTGTTTATGATTCTTAGTTCATAATTCTTATGTTTATTTAAATAAAACACCACCACTCCATAGTATTATGTTTAGCTTAGGTGGCAGGTAAAAATATGATATGATAATGCTTAGCATATGCTACCGCTTCCTGGTTAGTTTTTTTTTTTTTCTTATTAGATGGATATTGAGATCATGCATTGCTTGAAAGTAACAAAGTCCAATAAAAACTCAAATGGCATTAGTGTGAACTGTGAAAAAATACATGGTCAAATCGCATCCAAGGAGAGAACCTTAGAAAAGTTTTATTCATGTACAAAGCTCCAAGGAGAAAGTAAAATAGAAATCATTTTGTTATTTTATAACTAAAAGACAAACTTCAATGTTAAATTTGAATGGTATTTCATATTTTGTGTCTTTCCAAGATAAAATAGAGAAAATGATAACCCTGTGGTGGAGGGATATGGCCAAACAAAAAATTGTCTTTTTTTTTAATCGTTGAAGGGCCATGGGATTTTTCATGTTTTTCAAGATTTGGATTGTATTTTAATGGTGGGCTTTTGAGAAAAGAGACAAATTAAATAAAAAAAAAGGCCATCGCCAGACCGAAGGGTTGATGAAAAGGCCTGATGGGCTACAATTTAACAAAGATAGCGGTCAAATTTTGCCATTTTAATATTGAGTTTTGACAATAAAACATCCCAAACAAATCAATAAACAGTATTTGGATAAAACCGAATTGTCCAATTTGACAATTGGGATTGGACTATTTGGTTCAGATATTCGGATTTTTGGATTGGTTTTCGACAAAACCGAATTATTATTTTGGATTTCGGATTGGTTATGGTTTATAAAATAAGAACCGAATAGTCCAAAAAAACCGAATAACAGTTTATTATTTATTTATTTTTAATATATATCTATAATTATTTATTAGTAATTTTGTAATTTATTTTTTGAAATAGGTTCAAAAAGTTTCACCTAATAAAAAATATTAATTTACGTTTTCTCTCAAAAGTTTTTTATCTATAAAATATTAAAATATAATATACATTCATAATAGTTGCTTATAAATTTCAAATCGTAACTAAATAATTTGTTTTTTCTTCTTGTGTAAAATTCGGTAATATTATAATTATATTTCGTTTTAAAATGTTTTAGTTTTTAAAAACCAAATTATAAAAACCGATCCAACCGAATTGTAATTGGATCAGATCGGATCGGATTTGAATTTAGTTTGGACTATTCGGATCCATGTTTTGAAAACTGAAATCAATTTGGATTTACTTGATTGGATTGGATCAAACCGATCCATCCCAAACGAACACCCCTACAAATCAAACTATATTTCATGAATGAATGGATTTCAATTTCATTCTATATTTTTATCAACCAAACAAATAATATATTGCAAATCTTTTAGAAAAGTCCAATAGCTATAAAAACAATCTTATAAACAAACGCCCGAATCATTTTGCTATCGACAAACCAAATCCAAAACAGAAAAACAAAATAGAGTAAATTATATGTTTGGTAATTGATAACTGATTTTTGAATTATATTTTTGGTCATTCATTAGTTAAAATTCTTCTTACAGCTTTTTTTTATTTCTTTTTTGAGATTTTTTCGTAACATTTTGGTTCATGTTCGATGGAAAATGACTACTTTTATTGTCTAAGGGTGGAGGGAAGTATATTAACCCATTCTACGCCAAAAGAACATCATATATTCATATGTATATTCTCCAAACATCGAGGAACCTTCATATGAGCTTTATATAAAGAGAAAAAGCACTGAGAATTGATTTTGCAAAGCGTTAAACGTTATGGCTTTCATCTTTCAACTAAAAAGTACTAATAAGTTTTAACAAATACATCCTAATTCTAAAAAACAAACACACCCTTATTGTTGGTGTTATTTTTTTAGTAGAATATATTTAGTTAGTTATTTCCATTCATTTGTGTAGAACTCATGTTCACTTTCAACATGTTTTTTCACTAATTTCCAATTGCACAAACCAAAAAATACGGTTCTCATAGTACAAAAATATTATATCCACTTTGATCTTTGTTGAAATTTGGTCCTCAAAACTCCTACGGTGCTCATAGTACAAAACAAAAAACCCCAACACATAATTAGAAACTTGGATATATAATCAATAATTTGGTGTATCGGATATTTGATAGATCATGTAAGTTTATTTTCTATGATTAATCAACATTATGAATGAATTGTTCAAAATTCAATCTTCGGATAATCCATTTAAGGCAATTTCCAAATCAGACATGAAAAAAAAACGAAACATTGTTAGAGAGAGTACGGTTATTACAATTTTAAGTCTCTCAAACTTGACGGTTTATGAGTATACAAACTCCTATTATCCGAAAAATATATAAGATTGATAAACAACATTTTTGGCAGTTAAGTAACAGTTTTCTTATATATAACTGTAAGACAGCTTTTAACTATAACACGCGAGTTGGTGTTTGTTAATATTTTTGTCAAAATTGGTTGTCCCACATAGTAAATATTCTCTTACATTTTCTTCGTACATATCTTCATACTCATCTTAAATGATGACATGTGTTATATTTAATAAAAATAAATGTTGACATTTGTTATATTTAATAAAAATAATAACATTTTAATATATTTGTGTGACACATGTCAACATTTAAGATGGGTAGATGGATAGATAGGAAGAAATGTAAGAGGATATTTATTTTTTCTAAAAAAAACATCAAAATATTGTATGTTTAAAAAACTTGTTCTTTTATCTTGCGTGACGTGGGTTGACTAGTGGATTGAGGGCTTTGAATCATTAAGAGACTACTAGTAATTTATCTATACATATTAATGGTTAAAGATAGACCTTAAGTCTTATAAAATAACTTGAAAATCACTTTTTTATTATTTAGTTTTGTTTAACGGATAAGATTGTTTGGAGTAATTATTGGAAACGATAATTTGATAATTCGACAGTTTCCTACCAGTCACATTTAAGCAATACAAATTTGATTTTTTGGGATCTTTTGGATGAATAATCACCACATACAAACACTCTTTCAAATTCCATGAATACATACCGTAAATTCATCATAAATTAATTTCACATACAAAACTTAATTATAGATAGTTGTATCCAAATTTTAAAAGTCAATAAAATATTACACTTATAAGGATCAAATTTTGTCTTAGAACGTTAGGTTTACAAGCCTCTATCTGTTCATAATATGCAAATTTCATTTTGCAAGTTTCATGTTTATGTTTATTGATTGCATCTTCACTCAATTTCTATAACAAATACATGATTGTATGTTGTTTGTTAACATATGAAAGAAACATAGATTGTCCTTTTCGATACCCAAAATGGCAAAATCGACCTCTTCCTCCTCATTTCTTAAACTTTTATTTCTTTATTATTTGGCAACACAAGAATTGTATTATATCACTGTTTATCATGTCTTGTTTGTATGCTTGTTAATTCCAATCACATAGACAGAAAAATCACCAACATTATACACATAACCATTAAAAAAACACTACCAACAAAAGAAAACAATAAATTTTACACTAGACCCAAAAATCGAATTTTTGCATGTTTTTACCAACAATTTGTTGCCTATAAAAACAGTCAAAAATTCAAACCCCATATATCTTAATAACACAAAAAAATATAAAATAGTCACTAAGATAATTATTAAAAAATAAAATAAAAAAAAATAAAATAAAATAAAATAAAAAACACGCCACCTCTGTTACACCGGAAGATCATCCAAACCGTGTCCGTTAAACCCAAATTCATTTTCCGGCAATCCAAACGCCTCTTGCTGTTGCTGCATATCACAAAATCCCAATTGTACAAACATTAATGCACACGTTACAACCATAACAAAGAAAAATATTCTAAATTGATAAATAGAGTATAAATCATAAAAAACCTGCTTAAGAATCGCAGTGAGGAGGTCATCTTGATTGAATTGCTCTGGATATTGCAAAACATCGTCGTTCCGGTAGTTCCCAGGTAGCCGGTTTCCGTTTGACCGAGTTTGACCACCGACTGGAATCAGGATTTGATTATTATATGATAGCTGCTGCTGTGATTGTTGCAAACCCACGAACTGTTTCGGTTCCATATTTGTTGGAATTCCATGAAGTAATTTCGGATTTTCGAAATTAAATATGTTTCTTTGATCCATCATCGGCACAGAAATCGGAGATTTTGTGTTATTTGATCGAGGAAGAACCGCCGATTGGAATTGGCCGCCGGTGAATGACGTCATTGACGCAAAGCCTCCATCAGGGCTGCCGAGGAACGTCGACCCCAGATGCTGCGACGAGCTAAGTCTTCGGAGATAAAGCCGGTATTTCTGCACCAAATCGGAGATTGAAATTTGAAAATTGAAAATTTCCCGATGATTAGATGAAAAATCGAGGAGATTTTGAATTTTGAAGTTACCTGAAGATGGCTGGCGACGTTTTCTCTGGTTAGACCTGGAACGTTCATCAGCTCCAGGATTCTCTTCGGGACAGCTTCTGAATCGTTATTAGATTCAATAAATGTCTTATAAAAAACAAAATCATGGAGATTGAATCGAGAAAATTGGGTGAAGAAAAATGATCTTACTGTCGATTCCGAGCTGATTAACGGCGGCGACGAACTGTTGATGAAGCTCGACGGACCACACGACGCGAGGTTTTTTCAAAGAAGAAGATTCGTCTCGTTCTTCTGCATCAGCTTCAGCTTCATCTTCATCATCTTTCTTCCGCTTTGAATTTTTCCAATTACGTTCTTCGTTTGCCGATGACGAATAGTCAATATCTTCTGGTACTTTTTGGTGTTGGTCAGCGGCGGCGACGTCGGGACTTGCTTCCGGTTCGAAATCTTTCCATTCGTGTTTTCGTTTTCGTACGACATGTTGCCATATATTACGCAAAGCTTCGATACGAACAGGTTTTATGAGATAATCACAGGCGCCATGAGTAACGCCTTTCATAACCACACTGTTGCTGTCGTCGGCCGACATCACTGTAAAAATTCACCAATTGTTGAAGAAATTAAACCAGAAAAAACATGGATTTCAACTGATAAATTGGTGACTTACTGATAACGGGGAGGTCCATTTCGAGTCCGATATGTTCAAGGAGTTTGAATCCATCCATGTCCGGCATATGAACATCGCTTAGAACTATATCATGTCCGTTTTTGTTTTCTCTCAATAACGATAAACCGATTTCGGCTCTATTGCATATCGTGGCTACAATCAAAGCACAATTCGATTAGCAATCAAAGATAAAATTCATTGAAACAAGGAGATAGTATGTCAAATTGGGCGATAAGAACCCTAGAAATCCGGTTCAATTTTGATGACATGTTTCCGAATCTCTGTGTGTGTGTTTGATCTGGTTAAGAACCCTAAATCTAACTGGATTTGTTCTATTGATTGAAGAGAGAAATTAAAAAGGGTAAAACACTGTATATACCTTCATAATTGCAGTTTTTTAGCATCTTCTCTAAAATCATGAGACAAGTCGGGTCGTCATCAACAACAAGCACCCGGAGACCTGCCGGAAACTGGTCGGGTACAGTTCCGGCGCCGGCGCCGGCGGGTTTCCAAGAAGCACAACTTGAACCAGGCATCATCAATCGTTTAATCACAAGATTCATCAAGAGAAAACCTCAATCAACCCAGAAATAAACATGGCTTCTTTATGTTGATTAAAGTAAAAAAATTCGCAGTTGAAGAGAAGTTTAAAACACTGAGAGATGCTCGAAAGCTTCAATTTGTATCTGTTTGTGCTTCGGATGAGAGATGGATGATAATATGGGAATTCAAAGAAACCGTTTTGTGATTGAAAGTGTTTAATTTGAGAAGATTTGTGGGTTTTATGTTATGTGTTTGCTTCTTTTTGTTATGAAAGTCGAGTTTCCTCTTTTATGTTTTGATTTCCTTTTAAATAATTTTGTCGATTAGTAAATGGTGGGTCCCTTCCTTTGAGTACTTGATGCAACAGCCCAAATAACCCCATGCCACCAGAAACGATATTACGTCTTAAGAAAAGGATTGATTTCAATTTATATTGGGGATATTAATTAAACATTTAAACTAACTATTATTTACAGTAATATATAAAAATAGCAAAATAATAATAATAACTAGATGGGTTACCCGCGCGTTGCGCGGGGCGGAATGTGTTCGTTTTGTGAGACAAATAAGGAAGTGCATTGTATAAATTGGTATCGAAATTAAAGTATGCTGCTATTCTGTGTAATTTGCCATCAATGGGATGAATGAAAATGTAAGCAGAAATTGATTACTTAATTGGTCCTTGTGGAAGAATTATTTTATATAATGGTCATTTTTGATAAAAAGATTACAGAATTGGTTTTATGACAGAAAAACATTACCAAAATGGTCCCTTTGTTGAAAAATATTAAAAAATTGGTCCGAATACGTAGAAATATTACATAAATAGTCCATGTACAGAAAAAGATCACACAAATGACAACTGTGGCAAAGAAAGATTACCGAATTTCTCCCTGTGGCATAAAACATTAAAAAATGATCTTTGCTACAGAAAATGTTTACATAATTGGTCCTTCTGTAGCAAAACATTAGAAAATTGGTCCATATACAGGAAAACATAAGAGAATTATATTGTTATATCTTGTAGTTAGCTCATTACTGGACTAAATGCAATAAATAGGTATGACTTTCCCCCTTTCTTTTTTTTTTTTACTTATGTAGCATAGTACCTTATTTTTTTCATATTACAACATTATACATTCTTGTAGTGCAAAATAGAATAACAAAATACGTTCAAATAAAGCCTTAAGAAAGGTTTCGAAACATCTCTTTCATGAGGTGAAAACACCTAATAGCATGTGGGGTTCCAAGGGTCATTTCCTGTTTTCTATTTGTATCTATTGAAGGCTGAATTTATCCCCCATTTTGATATCGGTACATTTGTTGTTGTTGCAATCGACTCTGGATTTGATCTTATCTTTGTTGCTGCTAATTTTCCATATATAGTTATAATCACATGAATAGTATAATCGCATTAAGATATAGTGAAGTTTGGATTTGATTTAATGAACAGAGTAGATTAAAGTGTAGTTATATGATATTTTCTTTATTATGTTTTGGTAGACACAATAAAGTATCTTGCTATTCTGAATGTATAATATTTTTAAAACAATGTTACCTTGAATGTAAACGAATCACAACGGAGGGGCAAATTGGTCACGGTTAAAGGAATCACAATAGATTTGGTCATGAGTTGCATAAATCTTGAGTGTTGATTGTTAAAAGATCACACATTGATACTGGAATCAGAACAGAGGGGCTGCAAAAATCATTTTAACAGGTACCTGTTTCATTCATGTTAAGTGTAGACTTCTAGTTATTTTGACTATTTATAGTAACTAATAATTCAATCTATGTAACAAATTTGACAGATTTCCAGCAATAAATGGTCTTAAGAGCGATACACTTGCGAAAATGACATTCAATTTTAACCGGAATACAACAGATGGGGTCAAACCTTTTAAACAGTATAAACGAGAATTTTTCGTCAAAATCTGTTGAGATCACTAAATTTTACCAAAAAACTGTATATAGGGGTAGTTTGGTCAAAAAATATTAAATCATTAATTTTTTACCCAAAAAACTCTTAAAATAACTATTTTTTTTACCAAAAAAAACAGTATGTAGGGGGTAGTTTGGTCCAACCTGTTGGAATCATTATTCTTTTTTATTTTTCATCATATGTTTTACGTGTTATCTATAAATCAAATAACTATTGCTTTCAAATGTATAAAACGTAGTAAATAGACATTGTTAATAATACCAACAAAAATGTATGAACTATTTCTTGACTCCTTATTTATATACCTCTTATATCTTCAAAGTCATACACAATCAATTCCATGGTTGAGTGTTGTAGAGAACATGACTACTTGTTCATCGTGACGGGTCATTTTAAAGTACCTCAAATCCTTAAGGTTCTACAGTAGATTCATGTACAATGAGAACCATAATACATATCAACACATCATTAACTCAAACCTAATTAGATAAATTCTTAAGGCCAAAAAAATTCAAAATTACCATATAAACTTGCAGACTTTGTGGCTGCATTAGGTTTCCTGTGATGACCATCTCAAAACTAATAAGATATAGTTAGAATCTCGCATATACAAAGGAAAAACATATAAAATGTAGAAAAAATAAACCCTCTTTTGAAAAATAAACAACCCAAGAACATGATTACTTGTCAGACATGAAAAAAACCGAGAGCCTGAAAAACAACATAAAATGTGATGAGAAATTAAGTATTCGCCCTTTAATATAAAGTGTGCAGGAATGTTTCATTAAAAAAAATATAGGACGGGCATTTTGAGAAATCTAATTTGTGGAGTACTTTCTAGATAACCTAAAAAAACCTTTAGATCCTGGTCCGGGCTACCTTCATTGACAATGCCTTGGTCCGGTCCGGCAACAAAAATTCTCGGAATTGATGAAGTGAAACCACTAAGCCTGCAATATTGTAGCATTAATCAAAATTATATACCAGGAAATACAGACTAATACACATAAAGGACAAATTTCAAAAAGACAAAATATACAATATACTAAGTAAATGAATATAACTTATATAATTAGATGAACATTCAAAGCATAATAAACTTATAAGTTGTTTTTTAGTGTTTTGGCTGATTCCGATTATATATGTAAAATGACCAAAGAGCACATTTTTCAATAACTGTAATAATACTTTAAAACTATTTGTCGCCTAAACATAAACATCTTAACATATATAATTTATCATCTATATAAACTTACATTTGAACAGCTTCAGAAGCATGAAATTAGAAACGGATAACTTAATAATTTTACAAATATTTATAGTTTATCTTCAAATATCTATTATAAAACGAACAAAATAAAAGCAATCCAGCCGTTTATTATTAAAATATCTATCACCTGAAGATATATACATCAGGTCCAAGCCCATAGTAACCCTCGATCAAATTTTTCATCTAGAAATAACTTTCAAGTAACCTAGAAATTACACGGACCAGTTATGTGCATATCTGATCAGAATCCATAGGGAGAAATGAAAAACTTAAATGTTGATCTCCATTTATTTGAACATCCAAGCACACACCAATATAAAACATAAATTTTTAATTTATACAACAATCATAACCCAAAAAAATATTTTAAATTGCAACAATACATTACACCTGATATCCAAATTATTAATAGAATGAGAAAGAACCTGAAAGATCGATTGATGATGGTTTCTCTAGTTTCATTAATCTACATCGAATTCATGTAAGAAAAACACAATAATAACAGATAGTACTTACATAAAGTTGGAAATTGTTCGTGAGCTAAATGGATATCAGCATTCGAAAATGGGTTCTTACCGGGAGATCTGGATTTGTGAACTTTTAACAAATAGATTTTCCCCTTTGCTTTCGACATTCCACTAGGTGCCCTGAAAATACATAGTATACACAACAATTAGTTTAAGCATTGAGGGCATTCATGTCTTTTTAACATTGTCAAATCCACAAAAAGTTAGAAATTTTATCCATCGGTCCCTGATCTGTTAATAGTAATTCCAATTTCATGTAGATTGTTGCTTATGTCAACTCTCACAATTTGATCAAACTCAGTTTCATATAGATTAGTTCTTCTATTCAATGAAGCAATATCACAAACAGTTTGTGTGCAACCTTAGATACAAATATTAGGATTGAAATGTTACCCTGTAAAAGAACCGCTCAAGTAAGGGAGCCAGGGGACCGAGGGAGAGACAGTCGACCGAGGCGTTCCGGCCACCGGAGAGGATGCTCGAGGCGTTGGAACTTGCGCCACCGGAGATGAAGATTTATCAGCGGTGATAGACCATATGTGACAGCTCTGTATATCATGTAAACCATTTCACCGCCTTTAATCGGCCCCATTTTCAAACCCGTTTTGAGTTCAAGCGGCTCTTTACTGAAGTCAGTGGAGTGGACCTATAAAGCTTTACCCCAGTTTCACTCAAATATGGCTGATGGCATGATTGGATAAAAAATTAGGGCTCACTTGGGTACATACCTTCAAAATCGAAGCCAAGCATGAATTCACCTTCCATTTCTTCCTGTTTTTATTTGAAAGCGTTCAGGGAAGAGAGCAGTGGAGATGATCGAATAAACAGTATCAGAAGCTCTGCTTGAGGCTGCAGCCGGAGAGGCGGTGGGCGGCGGACAAAACGGGTTCGGCGCTCTGTGGAAGGAGGAAGGAGACGTTGTCGTTTGAGAGAAAGCAAACAAAATCGAGAATATCCAGGATGAAGAGAGGGATGGAAGGATCGGGAAACGTAACCCGACAAAGGTTGTGGAAGGATCTGGAAAATAAATATGAAATACATAAACGGGGACACAAAATGTGGGTATTGACAAAAAATGCCACATTTGAAGTAAGAATCCAGAAGTTAAAACATTAGTGGCAAAAGTCAGAAGTTGAAAACTTTACTGTTACTTTTCTTTATAACTTTAATATATATAATAATAATAATAAGAGATTACCCATCTTAACCATCAAAATATTATGTGTTAAGAAAAAAAAAATCTGTCATTTTCTTTATATTATCTATAAATTCATCATAGTGAACTATCAAATGGGTATTTGTTTCGGCGTATGGGTCTAAAATATATAAAATTTAAATTTTGAAAATAACTTTTTTACTTCCATACTTTCAAGATGAGTAAATTTTCTTTAGGCTCTAATAGCTCAAAAACAATATTCTTCGAAAATTTTTATAAGTTACGTAAATATTTCATGTTTAAGGGGGTGTTTGATTTACCTCTAATTGAGTCCAGTAAAAAGTTACCGCTGACTCGCATCAGTATGTTTGATACATCA